TTAGGTTTCGATTTTTGTTAGACTTACAAGTGTTAGTTGAAATTTGAAGTTAATTTAGCTAAGTGTTGTAGGTTTATAGATAACCAACGATCATAGTTTAAAAATAAGTTGGTAACATTGGACTGAACCATCATTAGTATTCCTCCTGTTCTTGTTTTATTCTTTTGTATTCAGATTGGTTATTGTTTAATTATTTAAACATTGAACCACATAAAACAAAAAAAAAAAATCACTTATAAGAGATAGAGTTGCTATTAACTTTTGAGAAAACGTATTCCAAAATTGTGGAATGCAAAAAAACTTCTGTTAATAATAAACAGCCTGTAAATAATTTTTACATTGTATATCAGGAGGATGGATTTTTTTTTTTTTTTTAAACTACTCCCGAATTTCTTTTAACTTTCGGTCAATGGAAACGTTTATGATATCTATTACCAATTAAGTCAGAATTTGGAACACCTGATGAAACTACCATATTTAGGGTAATCCCATCAGTGACGGACATAGCTAAGGAAATTTGGTCTTGTAACCATCTTTGTTGGACATTTAGGGTATCCTCTTTATATTTAACACTTTAAAATTTAAAAAATATTCAGTTATGCATATATAATCTCTATAAAAAAAAACACCAAAAAAAAACACCTTTTTGCACTAGTGATGGACACCCTGAAATTCTATTGTTCTAGTAATGGACTGGTGGTCGGTACCAGTAATAGTCATGCCTCAGAAAAAATCTAAAATCTTTATTTAACTATAAAGATAAAGATAAAATAATATAAACGTTCAACTTACTCTTAGCAAAACTGTTAACAAAATACTGATATCAAGAGCACTATAGAAACAAAAATAATAAGCATTTTAAAATTTTCTTTTGGGAACTTTCAGAAAGTTGTCTATAGAGCGCATTGTTATCCAATTTAGAAAAAAACTGGAACCTTTAAACAAATAATTCCAACCAGTCCAATCTGGATTCCGTGTCCATAACTGTTCACCATAATAACATCTGAAAATTCAAAATTAGTTATTATTGTTTCTTGAGTTGAAGGCTGGGAAAAAACGTCGAAGATTATAATCGCAACAGATAATATATTATTTAAAGGACTTTTAAAAGTTCTTATATTTTATTAATATATTAATATATTCATCACAATAGAAAACTAAAATGTATTAATGATTCCATGTTTCTATTTATAAATCAATGTTTACATAATTCTGCTAGACGCCGATTTATTAATTCCTTCAAAATATTAGATACAGAAAAAAATTACCCTCAGGCTAAATACTTCAAGAATATAAAAAAAATTGAGCTTGGTACGTACTGTGAAAGTTCATAGTATATGATTTAAAATTAAGAATTTATTTAGTTAAAATACCTGTCAGTTGATGAATTAATATTATTGTCAATCTTGTTTAAGACATAATTACAAATATTCTTATATCTTCGGAATTGAAAAAAAATTATCACATCACAATAAATTAACACCATATAGTCCTGAATGTCCTAAGGCGGAAAAATATGCGAAATTTCAAACTATAGTGGGATATAGTTAAAATATTCATTATTGGTAATATTTTCTTTTTTCTAAGAAAACCTCGTTACTGCTTACAATTTAAACCACGGCTCAAAGTTTCAAATAACAATCTTCGGTTGTACAACCAGATTTCAATGTTTGTCTGTAGATCAATGTTGAAAGTAGTTTAAACTCCAATAGTACAACTAGTCCTAATTTATTTTAATATAATAAAAATTCTGATACATTTTCAATATTTAGTTTTGTTCCGTTTATTTCTTCTTTAAAATTTTTCAATATTTCGGGAAGACCTACCGCTATGAATGTATATTGTAATACATCATTAATTCTATCACAGAAACATCTAAAGATTTTAATAATATCATCTTTAGATGGTAATTAAAATCATAAGTCTTTTTTTAAATCGATATAGAACTGATCAACAACACTCCTACTTTTTCAAATGAATAATAGTTGAATGGTTCCGGCTGAGACCACATTGCTAATTGGATTGTAGTTATGGAGGTAAGGAGTAAAACGCATAGGATATCAATGCTGTCAATTGAGTTTATATATATATATATATATATATATATATATATATATATATATATATATATATATATATATATATATGTATATATATATATATATATATAGCTATGGTGTTCCCCAAGGCAGCGTCTTGGGTCCCGTGCTTCGCATTCTCTTTACCGCTGACATCTCTGTTCATTCGGTATCGACCTTCTTATATCACCCAAATTCTCTTGCACAATCCTTATCTAGTTCCACCCACCCCTACAATCCTTCTTGAAGATTGTGAAGCGGCAGGTGTCCAGAGACCTGTTGTAAGCATTTATTGCATTTCTGCCAATGGCCAGATTTTAGCATTATTATTTTGCTGTTTATTTATTTTACATAGAGTGTAAATGAGAAACTCTTTTATCACTATTACTATTGTCCTTATATGTGACAGATTGTAATATTTCTCAAAAACCAATTAGAAAAAATTATATCTGCTGGGTATGCATTAAAAAAATAAATAATAATAAAAAAAATGAAAGATAAAGTTTTAGATAATTTAAAAAAATCATTCATCGGAGAGAAAACATAGGAATTTAATCAATACATCTCCTTTATTTCCCAAAGCAGTCAATTTACTTGCTGATATCTTTTTTTCATTTAACTTTCTTTTGTAAACGGGGCAATTCCCAAAGATATCGGCCACTCTCATTTTCTCCTTCGACCTTCCACCTTCGACAAATGGGCGTATGGCCTTTGGTAACCTGCGATTATTTCCTCTTCGTTATTCCTAGCAGTTATTCCGATAATAAACTTTTAAGAATTAATGTAAATATTTTGTAATATACTATTTTATTTTTGTATTTATATTTATTTATTATGTTCAAAATAAATCATAATTGATCGTAGTTAATTAATTTATATTTATCATAATAATCAATAAGGAATGCACCTAAATATATTTTTTTTGATATTTTAATAAATAGTAATCAATTTTCTTTTTTTATGTTTTTAGATTATTTAAAATGTCCAAACGGAAAGAAACCGATCACAATTCAAAGGTAAGCTAGATTTTGGTAAAATATTATTAAATATTTTAAATTATTTATCCTTTGTATAAAAGTTTGATTTATTAGCTACAATATCCAATGAATATTTTTATCATTTTCGAAGTAAGAAGGCTTTTCCTACTTACCAGTAGCAATATTTTAAATTATTTTTCATCATTCTCAGGGCACACAACCAATAAACAAAACTTTATTTATCTGTACCACTATAACCCATTAATGTGGGCTCAGAAATTTCTAATAAAGTATTGTTGCAAGGCCAACGGTTGTGCAGAGAGGTGATCGGTCCGAGATCACGCTAATTAACCGGATTTTTCCCTTTAATGAAAGAAAGAATATCCACTTTATAAAGACGTGATGTACCCGAGATGGACCTCCGGACCCCACGGGTGATTCAAAAGAAATGATAATCAACTTAGCCGGATTCAAACCCGGGACCTTGATCTTAGGGGTGGTTAGGCTACCATTGGGCTACCACGCTCCTCACATCATTGTGTCTTTCAATTTTCTCGTTGTTCTCCCATAAATTCTTCGATTATAACTTAATGAATAATATTAATAAATTAAACGTAATTATATAAATAAATCTTATAAATTTTCATTAATAAATTGTTTCCTTTGTTACATTCTTCATTATACATATATATTACTACTTTATGATAGTTTTTTTTTCATAAATCCTTCTTTTGAAGCAATTATTGTTACTTATTTTAATATATTACTTTGCTTCAAGTTAACAAGTTTTTTAAGTGTGAAAGGCTGTGGTGAAACTTCCTACAAAACTATATTTAGAAATCGTGCATTTCAGACAACTATTAACTGAAGTTAGAGCTATTCAATTGCTAGTTCAAATCCCCGTGACAGAATGGGATGAAAGAGAAAGAGAAAAGTAAATAAAAAATAAAAAATCTGGTTTAGTGGACATATTATAGATATAAAAACTTTTCTGAAATCGGTAGGAAAGTCGTATGAGTGGACATACCATATTTTTTGTACTTCTGTTTCACCAGTTTAATTGGCACGAATTTTACTTTCAAAATTTGTACCCCGTTTCCTGACCGACACTGTAGTTTGAAAAAATAGAAGAAAATATCCCTGCACCAGCATTTCTCATGACATGATGATAATTTCTGATTAATCAGCTTGGCTGTTCTTGATCGATAAGATTTTTGTTTTTGATACCAGCTTATCGGATATTGCCAATTATGAGCAGCGCTTCTTTTGGCAGTATGGTATGCTATTTTAAAATCCACAAACAGCCTTCAGACCTTCGAGACTTTAAGATGAGAGCTGAATTATAAAACAATGCCATCTATCGTGAATCTTTTGCGAATATACCCGTCTTGTTAACCTCGTTGTTATATTTCTACATAGATCAATATAATCTACACGTACAATTGATCATTGTTAAAATGTTTAATATTATGTTTCTGGTCTTTCATATGGTTAAATCAAAATACCTGACTATTAGTTTTTATAATTTATTTACAATCTAAAGTTTACTATAATATATGACCAAATTGTGGCAGAGCGTTGCTTAGAGGATTCTGGTACACATTATACAATACAATACACATTATACATCTAATGCATTTACACAAAAAAAAAAAATATTATCCCCAAGAATTATTGTCTACAAAATAATTGTTAAATTATGTTATATAGATAAATTTAAAGGGCGTCGAGAAAATGACTTTAGCAAAGTTTCATTGAAATCTGTACATTCGTTTAGGAGCTACAGTCTACAGCAACGCAGGTTTTTCGGCTGCCATTTTGAAAGTTAAAGGCGGAGAGTAATGTAGATGAAGGAGGATCATCCTCGGGTGACCTCTGATTTTATATCAAAATTTATATATTTCATTTCTGGTTTATATTTCAGACAAATGGTATTATATCGAAAATGACCATTGACAATCGTAATCACGCAGGAAAGAAGCCCACGGCAATTGTAAGACCGTTTATAATAAAGGTAAATATTATTCCTACGTATAATCTAATTATATAAATATTTTTTGGATAATGTATTTATGTTGTATTCTTTCGTTATAGAAACCAAGGATTGATCACCAATTGGTGGAACAAGAGCATGGTTACGCTCGGGTAAGTTATTTCAGTATTCTTAAATATTTATATTTTTAGATGATTATTATTGTGTAAAATAAATCGAAAGGCCATCCATATTTAATTATTTTGTGATGTAGATAAACATATATAACATACTTACTTAGATAGATACTTAGGTAAACTTTATATAGAATTATATAATCAATAAATGCCCAAATGTAGAAGGCGAAAATGTATGTAGGCGTATATTACAAATGACGAAAACCGTGTTGAAGGCTTAGGACACTAATGTCAAAACATATAATTCATTTTAAAAAGTATACCGAATAGTGTTTAATTAACTAAAGTAGGTGTGCATGTGTTCTTTTTATTTATTTATTTTTAGGTTATTTTATTCTTGTTTATTGTATATATATTATTTTTCTGTATAATTTATTTTATTTACTGTATATAGAGTGTGAATGTGATCTGTGAACACTATTATTAATGTCCCTGAGACAGATTGTAATATATTTCCATAAAAAATAACATATAATATTATATTATAATTTATAATGTAATAATATGTAAATATTTTCATGACAGTTCAGACCTCCACATCCACCTCAAGCGCAACGGACCTTTGATGGCGCCTCCACTTCAGCGGTAAGTTTACTTTTAAGTTCATCCAATTTACATCTCTACTCCCTGTTAATAAGTTGTAACCTCAAGCTATGACAAAAACTAGTTAGGTTCTAAATCGTAAATTAAAGGCTTAATCAGAAGCGAAGTTTACCTACAACTAAAGAAAGATGTTAATTTCTGAATTACGAGTTAAATCTGTAAAGTTTGGAACTAATATCATAAAAAGCTATAATATCCTACTTTGCCATTTACCGGGACTAGCAATGTAATAAATATTTAGAGGTATATCTTTTTAAAAAAATCTTGTCGGCGCATCACAAAACTTGGAAGTTTTTGAAGCGCATTTATAATTCAGCTAAACTTTAAACAACATTTTTTTCAATTTCGGTCATATTCGAATATATAAAAACTCATTAAGACCATCAAAATTACATAAACCCTACTTATTATATCGATTGCAGACGATAAAAACATGATCATGAAATGCAAAAACAAAAACAAAAAAACATGAAATGCACCAGCCTATTTGAATGATATAACTTCACAGTCTCTGAGATAGACAAAGAGATATTTGAAAGTATATATATTTAATAATGAATAAATTATGCCATACTGCACAGCAAAAATTATAGGAAATAAATTTCTATCACCTGTTTTGTGTATTTAAATTCTAATTTTTTACTCTTGGAAAATTTACAAAATGCAGTTACTTTCTTTCAAATACAGCATCATAGGTCAAAAGTCGCCACACTAATTGTAAATTTCTAATGTGATTACACAATGAGAATTTTTCGGAACAAACCGTTGTTGTATAACTAATTATTTAAATACAATATAAGATCTAGAGTTATTAAACTATATTAAATGTATTTAAGGTTATAAAGATCTATGAAATATTTTTATATTTCACTTCTTCTTTTACACAAGTACAATGAAATATTATTTTAAACAATGTCGACGGTTTGATTCGGTGGATTTTATATACTTTTTTCAAACGTAAAAAAATAATTTTAGATTTAGTAAGAAAATTTCATTTAATTTCCCTGGTATCATGTGATTTACGTTAAATAGTGTTAGTTTTCAGAAATCATTATTTATATTTTTTTCATCACTTTTCGTTACCTTCTTCAACTTTATTTATTGGATTATATGTTAACTAAAATTCTGTTTAGAGGAAGATATATTGAACATTGGGCATTTAAGCCCTGTAAGGTGACATCAATGTGAATAAGAGCTATATGATATTAAATACCACTGAATAATACAATGATAAACTGAGTTTAATCAAAATCATTAAAAATGTGTTAAATCAATGATTTGATGAAAAAGTTGCTGTAACATCCCAGGCATATAAAACCTAAAATACTAAATTTCAATTTGCTAGACTGTTGCTGGACACACACACACACAGACCATTTGGTAAGACTTGGTTTGTACTCAGCTGACCTCAAAACGTATAATTCCGTTTAAAACTCAGATTAGAAAATTTTGACGATCGCAATACTTACTCTAACTATATATTACATATATAGGTAAATTAAAGTCAAAATAATAATAATAATAATTCAATGTTTATCTGAACTTATCTATATAAAATTTAAAAAATAAAACAAAAAAATGGGAAAGAAAGGAAGCTCACAACCTCAAAACCTCCACTAGTACATGTTTAGAAACATCCAAATATACTAGATGTTTCTAGATAGATACGACGGAATAAATATAAACATAAAATAGTATGGATTCAACAATACTGCATAACTATTTTAGTCAGCCTTTTGAATAATTTTATTTAAAGTAATTAAATCCACTTATATATTTGGAGAGAAACATGTTTGTATAAAAATAATTTATTTTACAGACAAGTGAAAGTAGAAATGCAGAAATTGAATTTCAAATTCAATTACACTTGCTGGTGTCTTATTCGTGGTTTTTAATATTTCTTTGGCTTAAAATTTCTCCATATTGAAACTTTGTAAAAATATGACATCCTCCCAAAAAAATTTATAAACCTGTAAGTAAATATGCGCCTACCATCACAAATTTTGATGCAACAACTGCGCCGTACGATCCCCTTCTGGTCCCCACTGATTTGTAAAAAATGGCTTGTTTTTAATTTGTACAAAGTAGGATGCAAGAGATTTAAAAAAAAAAAATCAAGTTTATCGTATCCAATCCCTAATATTTTATATAAATGTACAAACATAATTTCCTTGAAACGCTTATGTTTCGATAATTACTCTTTCGGTTTGTCCCAAAATTTGAGACAAATTAGATGATAGTTTTCAAATAGTCTAGTCTAGTCAATTTGATCAAATTGCATCAGACAATGATGAGAGTCTTATATTAACCTATTTGACTCGGTTTTTTTTTTTTTTTTTATATTCTATTTAGGTTTCGAATGAAATTATAATCTAAATGATGTGCTTGAGTATGTATATTTTTTATTTCAAAAGATTCTATTATATAAAGAAAAAAATATGCTCCTAGATAGTTTAAAATAAACGGCATTGAAGATACCTGCCAGGATACAATCATACAATCAAAAGTTTTTATTGGTGTCGGCGTTTTACCCAACGTATCAAATAAACGTCGGCACCAATAAAAACTTCATAATGACTGCGCCCTGAATATTTACCACCATGTATGTCATATAAATTTAGAACAGTCCATAAACTTCCTTCAATTATTTATTATTTAGTTAATTCTTATATTTGTATCACAAACAAAAAAAAAATGTTTAGCCTTCCTAACGCAGCACTCCTATTCGATGGTAAGCAGTCACAAAAATTAGTCTTAATCAAGTGTAATTTTAATAAAAACTCATTTACTAATCATTTAATAAGTCAATATGTGTGAAGCTTTGAAGCAATCTTCTTTACGCATGTAGCCCATAATACATTCATTATCTAGATAAAAGTTATAATTTTCAACTAATTTTATTATAATTATTAATTTTCTAGCAGTATCCTTAATACCATGTCTTATTGTTTCCTTGCAGGGGCCATTGTCAAACAGCCACCATCCTAACCAAGATCTTGATATTAATAACAATGCAAGGGAACACCCCTACTCGATGGTAAGCAGTCGCAAAATTTAGATTAGACTTTTTCAAGTGTAACTTTAATAAAAACTTAATTACTAATTATTTAATTAGTCAATATGTGTGAAGCTTTGAAGCAAGTGTAGTCTTCTTAACATATGTGGCCCGTAATATATTTATTGTTAAGTTAAAACTTATAACTTTTAATTAATTTTATTATACTTATTAATGTTCTAGCAGTATCCTTAATGACATGTTTTATCGTTTGCTTGCAGGAGATACTCGTAAACAGCCATCCTGACCCAGTTTTTGATATTAATAACATTTTAACGGAGCACTCCTACTCGATGGTAAGCAGTCAAAAATTAGATTTAATCAAGTGTAACTTTAATTAGACTTAATGAAGTGTAACTTTAATAAGAATTAATTAATTGAAACTTTAATAAATACTTATCCTTAAATAAATACAGTATCCTTAATGCAATGTCTTATTGTTTGCTTGCAGAGGCTACTCGTAAACAGCCTCAACAACCCTCCTGAGCCAGTTCCCGATATTAATAACATTTTGACGGAACACTCCTACTCGATGGTAAGCAATCACAAAATAAAAAAAAAAAAATTTAGCTATACTATATATGTAATTTGTTTCAATAAACATTTTGGAGGGTAAGAAAAAAAAATCACAAAATTTAGATCAGACTTAACCAAGTGTAACTTTAATAAAAACTAAATTACTAATTATTTAATCAGTCAATATGTGTAAAGCTTTGAAGCAATTGTACTCTTTTTTACACATGTAGCTCGTAATAAATTCATTATTAAGTTAAAAATTATAATTTTTAATTAATTCTATTATATTTATTAATTTTCTAGCAGTATCCTTGATTCCATGTCTTATTTCTTACTTGCAGGGACCATTTGTAAACAACCATCCTGACCCAGTTCCTGATATTAATAACATTATAACGGAGCACTCCTATTCGATGGTAAGCAGTCAAAAAAATTATACTTAATCAAGTGTAACTTTAATAAATACTTAATTAGTAATTATTTAATTAGTCAACATGTGTATAGCTTTGAAGGAATTTTACTTTTCTTTACATATGTAGCCCGAAATACATTCATTATTTAGTATAAAATTATAATTGGTAAATGGTTGACTGTCGTGGATAATGAAGAGAAGAATAGTTGGGGGTGGTCAGTCAAAAAAGAAGGCAAAAATAAATGATAATATTTATTTTTACATATGTCGACGTTTCGACCTGAAGTTCAGGCCATCATCAGGGCTAAGAAAAGAACCAGATAACAAGGTATGAGAAATATAAAAATTACAGTAAAATGAAGTTGTTTGAATAATGACTATAGTAAGAACAAGAGACAAATAATAATAACAGGTACAAAGTGTGGAATTATGAAGTAAATATAGTCAAAAAAGGTGACATAAGTATTGCAAAGGGAATCTTAGAATAAAATGTAAAACAGAAAAATATGACATTATTACTCAACAGTTATTTTCTTCGTTTTATTGCCTCTCCAGAAGTTCTATCAACTATTTAAATGTATTACAATTTTTTATTATAATTTATAAATTATTTATTTATTATAAATTTATTTTATTTTAAACTATTTTATTGCCTCTTTCTATCAACTTTCGTTTTTTTCCTTAATATTTATGAATAATATATCTCTCGTTCTTATTTACGCTTCCGATACGTTCGTTCAACAGGCTGTTATCATTTTTCTCTTACTTATTATCTTTCTTATTTCAACCTTCTCAGTTTCTCTCCTCCTTCCTTTCATTCCTTTTCTCTGTTTTAACTCTTTATTATTTCATACTTTGTCTGTACATATTGATAGACTTTACAACATCTCAATTTTCTATCTAAATATTCTATTCACTATATCTTAATTTTACTATTTATTTCTATTTCTTATATAACTTCATATTTTTCTGTTTTACATTTTATTCTAAGATTCTCTTTACAATACTTATGTCACCTTTTCTGACCTGTTATTATTATTTGTCTCTTGTTCTTACTATTGTCATTATTCTAACAACTTCATTTTGCTGTAATTTTTATATTTCTCATACCTTGTTAACTGGTTCTTTTCTTAGCCCTGATGATGGCCTGAACTTCAGGTCGAAACGTCGGCATATGTAAAAATAAATATTATCATTTATTTTTGCCTTCTTTTTTGACTGACCACCCCAACTATTCTTCTCTTTAGTATAAAATTATAATTTTTAAAATGAAAAAAAGATTTGTTTACTCTTAATTAACAGTTCTTTATTCTTAACAGCTTATTATTTATCAATATCCAGAATAACTAAACCTATTTCATTATTGTTACTGTTATTTTTGCGGGTTAAATTTACATTTTAAATTATCGTTTAATAGTGCTATGTTACTTATTTTATACTGGAATCGCATTCCTAAATTGTTTCCCAATCGCAAGAATAAGACGTGTCTTGGTCTTGGTCTTGATCTTTGTCTTACAATAGCCTATTATCTTATTGCTATTTATTAACCATGTTACTTTAGATCTTGGAAAAACGCTACAAAATAGTTGTTTATATAGTTGTTATATAGATGTTTTATCGACGTAAACAAAGTAAAATCCAATCAAATTAATAAAATTTACTTGGCAATACATTAAAGGCACTCTCAAGAAAGTTATTGATAGGCCCCATCTTCGAATTGTAGAATTGTATAGTTAAGACAATCTATTCGATGTCACCAATTATTTATATAAAAATCTAGCGTGTGCACTCACATGACTTTACAACTGATTTCACACAATATTCTTCAATTTTAAATATTTTCATTATAGATTACACAATTGAATTATAATAACTCACAGTACGAGATAGACCTAATTAGAGTACGATTTATTTGATTAGCTAGAGCAATCTAAGAGTGCAAGGGAAAATTATTACAATCAGTGTATAATATTCAATCAACTGTAACATTGCTAAAACTAGTCAAATTTAGACGATTTTTGATAGTTTTGTCACAAATATAATAACCTTTAAAAAAATGTTACCACTACATATTATAGAGATATTTCTGTAATTTATGAGAATTGGGAAACCTAACGAAGTGCAAAGTGCAAGACCAAGACTGATCTTGGGCAACATTACTGATATTTCATATATATATGTAAAAGTGAATTGCTCACTTTTAATTTTAAATAGTGGTAGATCATAAGAGCAATTGTTTTATTTAACATATATTTTTTAGCTCATGGTGTGAGGTTACAAGACGCGTGGGGTTATTAAGTTTAGATGAATTTATTTTGTAATTAAAAGAGCTGTATAGTTATATCATTTATATTTCCCAAATATAAGGTTATCAAAACAAAAAAAAAAGGTTATTTTTTCATGTAATTTACAATTTGTAAAGTATTATTTATTACTAATCAATTTTTTTAATTAATGTTAAATCAAGTTTTTCTTCGAGAGTAAAACAGTGATAGTTTTTTTTTTTTCAAGATATCCTTCACCACATTACATAATTATATAACATTATATTATATGAAATATATTGTATACAGGAAAGCCATTCCAGATACATAATATATTTCTTTTTAGTTTGATAACTTTCGAAACATTTTGTTATTATTGAACATCTTAACTGATTCAATTATAACTTTGTATTAGTTTTATTATTATTATTGTTTTCCTAACAATGTGTTTAATACCATATTTTATTGTTTGTTTCCAGCAGAGACCATCAAATACCTATGCACCTGGTCCGCATGCTCTTATGAGTCAGTTTCTGAACGAACATTCATATTGTATGGTAAGCAATCACAAAACTTATCCTTAATCTAATTTATCTTTAAAAAATAAGCTGCGTGCTTTAGTCTAGTAGATAGAGGTGAAAACAACAACAAAGCGGGATTAAAAATATGATATATAAATTAAAAATAATATCTCACGATAAAGAGGATGAAATGCAGAGCATCTTCCACACTTACAGTATGCAGGTCCGATTTTTTTGGTTTCTGAGATATTTTAATCGCCAATAAAACTCGTTATCGTTTTTGCCTTCCTAACACAGCGTCGCGTTAAGATAAAATTTTGAATATTATCCCATTACAAAGGGAATGAAATGATGAACATTTCCCTCGCTCACAATATGCAAGTCTGATTTTTATTTTTTGAGATATTTTAATACAGTTGCAAAAACACTTTAATTATTCGACTCCAGCCGACTTTACCCGAGCGTTACACATCGGAGACCTGAAGGCTCAATCCAATTCACTCTTCACGAAAAAAGTGCAAAACGCGTCTAAAGAAGTCTTCACTTAAAAAAACTAAGCTAGTTATTAAATTCGTCTATACATGTACAGCAATGAAGACATTTTTTTATCCTTTTTTATGTTAGTAATCTTATTCTAAATTTTCTGATAATGATCGAGAATTGACAATAAACCAGTAATTTATGAGTGATAATAGTAATTCATGATTAGTAATGGTTAGTAACACTTGTTAGTTAATGTACTGCACCGCAAGTCTATTTCAGATCGATGATCTTAATGAATATATCCTCTAATCTATATTTTGTGCGACGGAAACCTAATGTATCAATAGGTTATTGAATATGATTATTACATACTTTTTGTATATAGGAAAATAAAATCGTATATGTTATTAATATGATATTAATTCATTTTTTTTTTTTTTTTTTTGTTACAGAAAAGAAGATGACTGTAAGTGCTGTAAGATAATGGTTTACATACTATGTAAACTCATTATATGTATATTATATTATTTTGTATTTTGGCACATTTTGTAAAAGAAAATTATATTGTATATAATAAATTGTATAAATTCATCTATCTACATAAATAAAAACTTATTAATAAAATGTATATTTTGCATTATTATTTCAATTCCCTCTCAGCTTTACTAATCAATCAACCTAGAAATAACATTTCAAAACTTAAATATCATATATTAACAGAAAAGCATGAACTAAGCTGTATTACATCGATTTAGAAATGTTTATGGAAAATATTTTGACTCGTACTTCGACATTCGACATATTTTTACCTTGTATAAATACTTTATTGTACTAAAAAATAATAATGTTGAGCAAAATTTTAGTAAAGTCTAGATTAGGAGCATTGAATAATTTACATTACAAATAATCATATCCTCATTTAATAAAATATTGATTTTGATTGATGAAAGATTTAATACAACTAAACTTAAAATGTTTCTAAGCTCGATTTTTAGAAGCGATAATTTTGCTGGAAACGATTTGCCTTGCATTATTTCAAAACGAACTTACTCAATTTAGTAATTTATTTTGTATACTTTAAATTGTTTGGGGCAGTACAAAAAATTGATGTATATGTATATATTGTATTTGTTCAATTAAAACTTTGGAGGTTGAGGAAACAAAATAGTAATTTATTTTATGTATTTAAAATAATAAAATTAAATACTTTTTTTATATTTTAATATCATGAAAAGAAAATACTTATAATTCTTTTGTATATCAAAAAGAAAATATAGTTATGAGCTATCTATTTTATATTTCTATTCTTAAGATGAAAAATACAAAAAAATGTGTTTTAAAATTTGAATGTGTTTTAAAATGTTTTATTTAAAATACTACTACAGGTATAGAATGATTCATTGGTTTTTCTTTTACTATCTTACTTAAGTTCTGTTAGAAGTATGGTTCGATAAAAAAAAAAAAAAAAAGAAGAAGAAAAATAGGTCAAAGGTCTGTAAACTTAGGAGTTGAAATCACTAACAGAAAAGACTTTAACGGTCGTAGAAACTTGGATGGCTTTAAAATATATTTATGGGGGAATATTATTGTGATTTTTTACAGTAAATTAATAAAAACTTGGCTTCAAAAAGTTTGTCTTTAATATAAACTTATAGATAAATGTGAGTTAAAGAAAGCTACATTTTAAATTCTTAATAAAAGGTGAGTAATTGACCATAGCATTATCAGGCAAACTA